GATAGAAAGGATATAAGTATAAAAAAATAAACACTTGGATACTTAATAACTCAGAAATGAAGGTTAGAAAGTGAAATTTCGTTCTATAGGTGAGACGAAAGAATGGCAGGCTGCTTAAATAGAATGGGAAAAATACTAAATGCACTGTAGGAAGTATAGATTATGCAAGTGAAAATTAATGAAAATAAATGCATTCTGAGAATGAATTGTAAAATAGGATTCGAGTTGGTAGAAAGGTAAAAGAGTAAAGCAAAAGTGAAAAAGTGGCAAGATAACTAAAGCAAAAGTCTTACGTTGACAGGAAAGACCATAGGGTTTGTTGAAGATCAAGATGTCATCTAAAAGGCGAGAAAATAACTTGATTTGATAAAAAATACTATACAGCGAACTGGTTTAATGAATTTAAACACTTAAAACCATGAGCCCAGCGGTCATTTAATAGATTTAGGGCACATTATCAGAGGAGTAAAGACGTAATCTTACTCGACAAAAGCTTTAGGCACTGATGCTTGAACTCCCCAAAATATATGGAGGAAACTAACCTTTGCTGTAAAATCTAAAGGTGTGATGCACTCCCAGTTTAGACCTCGGCTTAGTCAAATCACCATCCGAAAAGAGATCAAACCAGAGGTGGACGTGGTTACAGGAAACGTTAGCGCTTACAAGCCCCTAGTGCAGCTTGTTTACAATGTAGGGCATGGGACAGAAGGAGAGGTGGGCCTGTCTCAGTTCACAGCATTGTGAGGATAAAACAAGTAGGGAAATATGTGTTTGTCACCAACCTCGATTGTTTTATGATGAAATAGTGACTTGTTTAAAAACCATTGATCAATTTAAAGTCCTAAAAGTGATAACGTTGGTTCGACCTTGTGAACCATATTATTCGTGATTTCCAGCATTGGACAATTGACTTGGTACATTCCAAAACGTTTCGCCGGCATCGTCAGTGAGAGGCACCCTCGTCAACACAAAGTTACAACTTATCAAAGTGACAAGTGAAAGCAATCCCATTAACCAATCCTCTGCTCAGTCGTCTTATATTCAGTTTCAGTTTCGGTTACTATGCTACCACCATATACCTCCCATGCATCTCTGCTTTCGTAGTATGCTGAGGTCAAAATTCATGCTGTGACTTCATAACGTATCTTCAAAATAGATCCCAGATGTAAATATAATTGCAGAGCTTTCTGGTCTCTTAGGTTAGACATCGTATCCATAATAAACTTGCTCAAAGCCAGCCCCACGGAAACTCAGAGATGGATTATTAAAAGTCCAACAGCATATTATGATTAAAGAATTTCAAGGTCAAGACTGGCAAGCCAAAGCCTTCTTTCAGCACGGGGATCTCAACAAGTTCAATCATTTTCACTTTCTCTGTTATAATAGCCTATATAAGTTGAATATCCGTAGATAAAAACAATTTTTATTAACTTTTCAGCTTTTTTCTGAGTTTATATCCTCTAGTTGATGCAAGAAACGACTTCATGCATCTACTTTCTGTAAATAAGTGAGACTAGCAAGCGAGATATGAGCCCATATAATCATTCAAAGGAGCCAGATTGCGAATAATAAAAAAATGTGGAGCTAGTCTGGAAATAAAAGCCGGTCACTCACCAGACATATAAATGATGGTACGATAAAGTACATCGGCCACTTCTGTTTGAGTCATGTGTGAAAAATCTACTTCATTCAAATCCCGCCTATCGACTAGCAGATCGTTTTTGTCTAGAGAAATTGAGAGACAAGGGGGAAAATGAACAGAGGATCATGAGTACATCGTATAAAAAATGGATCGTATCGATATTTCATAAAAATAAGTACTAGTTAACATTTTTGTATTAGTAAAAGTCTAAGAAAAACGTAATCTTCATTCGAATTGGATGAAACAATCTAAGCCTAAGGAGGTGGCAAGCCGAAATCAACAGGAGCAATTTCGCACAAGTATAGATGTTCCTGCTGGCCGACAATATTGGGTAAATAACATTAGAGAACTGAAATAAATTGAAGTAACTAAGGCGACAGGTTCCCACTTCCAAAATAAGAGAGATAATTTCGAGGGGCAAGAGGAAAAGGATGGGGCCTACCTTTAAAGAACCAATAAACTCCTCTCAACTTAGATTAAAATTGAGTTGCTTAAGATTGCTTTTTAAGTGCCTTAATGCAGTGTCATAGTTAATATGGAAAATGAGACCGGAATGAGAATTCCAGTCCGCTGCTAGCCACTAAACAAGTGTTAGCTGGAGAATTAACTCGAGAAGATTATGAGAGCACAATAAACTGTGGTGCTGAGAAGCTATCAATAAGCTCGTTTGTCAAATAACAAACTTAACACATCTTTATGCTGCAGCTGCACGAATTTTTAAACTTTTAAAATAACTTGTCAAGTTAGCTTGCTGAGTACACAGCCAAACGTTGTGGAAGAATTTCCTTCCCCAAGAAAAAATTGTGAGAATGCAGTGATTGAAGAATTATGGACGATATTTCGTCAGCAAACAACAGTACTGCTACTAACAGCTTGATAATTTCGGTTTGATTTGCTATTGTAACTCAATTGTGTTTTCAAGGAAACTCGGAATATCGTCCCTTGTATTGCGAAAACACGGTCATTGTGAAAGGACCAATGCTAGACGAGAACTTGACAGGAATGACAAATCATACGATGCCGAGTAAGCTCTCCGATGACTCACTGGAAAAATCACCAAGTTACGAAAACTAGGTCAAAGTAACCACGCAATAAGTTGAAATGTATCAAGCGATATTGGATAACGAGGGGGATACAATAAAAACAAGGTAAAAGACGAAGAATGCTTTTTATCATTAGAGCAAGCGTAAAAACAGTCCAACTGATTTTTTTTCATTCATATCCTCACTATTTCGTTACTTTAATGGCATTATCAACAATGACCTGTTGAATGGTAAGAATGATGAGAGATTTTAGATCTGATCAATATCATTGGTATACATGGTGCTATGAAGCACTCAGAGTTTGTCTACTGATGAAGATTTGGAGAATATACTTGCTATTGTCGCTCAATTGTAACATGTATACTAAAAATAGGTCCTTACCTGAGATGAACCATTGTCTCGAGGCTGATTAGCGAATTAAGGTAAAGATAAGCTGACATACTTTCGGAATACATGCAGAATGCGACTACAAAAGATTCGACCAAGTGTCTATCATAGACGTCTATTCATGCTTAATGTGAGATTCCCTGATCGTGCCGATAAGACTGTTATGATAGTAATAAAAAATTTCCCCCAAAGTGTGTATTTGACAAGATCTCCAAAAAAATCGCATGTATTCCTAAGCTGTGGCTAGAGTGAAGGTTTTTTATACAAAAAAAGTCGAAATTGCAATCACAAGAAATGAATACGGATCAGGTTCACCTTTGTATCCAAGAGCCTCGCGCACCTGCCGTCTGACGTCTGCCGCCGTACGAGGGATTTGGGGAGTTGAAGGCTTGTACGTCTTATTAACTATAACAGGAGAGGTTTGGCGAGGGGTTGGTCTGAAGATTATGGGGGAGGGGCACTTGATTGTGGAGGTGGGCTCGGAGGAAGAAGCGCGAATGGGGGGCGGCGAGCTGGCAGGATGGGGTGAATGTGAAATTGGTCGGGTCTGATGCTTTTCATACTGAATTCCTGAAGAGGCTCGCGCTAGAAGTGAAGCCGAATGAGGATCAGAGGCTTCTGAGTCGGCTGGAGCTGAAAAGTAGGCTCGGTCGATGAAGTTGTCACTGGGATTTGATAATGCATTGGCCGAAGGAGCCGGAGTTGAAGAAGTACTGTCAGAGGATGGAGTGGGAAGCAGATCCGCTTTGTCTTTTTGATCAAGAACAAGAGACCCTGAAAGAGGGAAAAAACATGCAATGGACTCAATAGTGTGAAGTGAAAACGAAGGCAAAAGCATGCATAAGCATAATTATGCAAGAGGTTATATGACAAAAAATAATCAAAAGCAATTAGAAGACAAAAGCTATTAAGAGAGAGAGAGAAGATTAATAAGCCGAGTTAAAATAATGCCGAGCCTGAATAGGCAAGCAACATCATCAAAATCACTTGATGTGATACAAAGTGAACATAAATAAAGCTGAGTCTTGTGAACATTTTGATGATTGGGATAAATTACATGAACAAACATAATAGTTAGATCTTCAAATAAATACAACGTAGATTATAACAAAGGGTAGGCAAATTAGTCGGATCCAAACAGGAAAAAATATGTAAGCAACAGGTTTTTGTGTTAAAGTTACAGCTACTCTATTCACGATAAAATGAAGGAAAGTTGGATTTTTTCAATGAACGCCATTTGCCATTAGCAATTTATCCCAATAAGCCATTACCTCATTAGCAACATTGGCGATATTAAAAAGGCTGCTTTGAAGGTAATGCTTGTCATGTAACCCATTTGACCTAGGGCTGTGGCATGGAAGCGAACATGTTTTTCATGTAGCCCACATGTCCGGAGCTAAAACAGACTTGAAGTGCCACTGAGACGATGTGGTGAGATCGAAACTGCAATCATGTTTGTATGAGAGTGGCCTTGTGGGATACAGGGGAAAGGGAAATTCAATGCACAAATCAAGCCCTTTGTTCAACTCATAATAAGTGAAGTCGTTTTGAGTCAGGCATGGAACAAAACATTCTAAACTGGTATATCTCTGCCACAAAGAAAATATTACTGACAGCAAAGCATAAGCAAATTAGCCAGCATCCAAGGCTTCTCAAAGTCCAGGACCTGATTGAGAATGTATCAAGTCCACTGTCAGATGCTGGGAAACAAGACAACTACTATGACAGACGACTTCGGAC